TTTTCTAAACAGGTTCGAATATTCTATATCATAGTCATGAAACTGTTCACTTTTATTACAATTCCTTTCATCATATAGCTCGTATAATATATTCCTACTTTTGGGTAAGCCAGTGTTGGCCCATTAACTAAATGTGTCGTTACCTTTAACCACTAGGGTTGTTAGTGTAAACATGGTGTTAAATGTTGAAGAAAAAGGTTTAAAAAAAGCCATTATAATAAGTGTTAGGGTCATTGTCTACGCAGAGTACTGAAATATTGAAATCAGATCTAAGTTTATTTTTAAAGTTTTTACAACGCTTTGCAGATTTAGGTATCACCACAATCCTTTTTCTGCCACCTTTTCATACTTATCACAGAACGATACTAATTGACCACAGTGGTCAGAGTGTAATTAATTGATTATATTCTTATCCTTAACTACAGTATCTATAAATTAATATGTTCTTCAAACATGTGTCAGTGGTCGCAGTGATCCGTGTAGGCTCCAAAAACAAGTTTTTCAGATTGTAGGAATAAAATAGTTCCTTGAACTTTGTTACAATACTTGACTTTTCTAATAGGTTAATATTAAAGTCACCACAAATGATGACCTAGAATATTTATATTATATATATTATATTTATAAAGAATATTTATATACTTTTTTTTTGTAAATAGATACATATTATACATAGAAAACAACCAAACTCCGAAACAAATGTTTGTAGCTATACAAATATTTGGTCCGACTCTGGAATCGAGCCCGAGACCTCAGCACAGCAGTCGCATACGCTATCACTGCACCACCGAGGCAGTCATAAGTATATTTGACATGCATGAAGTTTGCATATTTCACATGCATTTTCTGTCTACTTCTTCGTGTCTTGTCTTAATTCCTTTAGATTATGATTGGAGATCTTAGTCCCCGGCCCCAGTGGACCAACAACAGCCAGCGGACAATTTGCAGCTGGCGGAGGTACGCTTTCGTTAATATTTCAGAGGGTGGTCTAACATGGATTAAACTATCGGCATTTATTATCCAGACTGTTGCTGGACTGTTTGGTTTTCCTCCATACTTACAATCTATCTCTCTCTCTCTCATCTGTACAATACAAATCTGTACCTAATTCTTGACTGATCATTGTCTGACATAATTTATACAACATATAACTTACAGTAGTTTCTCACAACCACGCAAATCGTGCTTTGGCAGTGGTTTGCAAAAAATTAATTGTGTTGTATCCGAAAGGAAGCTGTTAAGACTGGGCTACTAACGCATTCAACAGAAAAGAGCCATAGCAACCGCTATTATAATTTAAATTACAGGGTACTGAAAAGGAAACTTAATACAGGTGTTTTGCGATTAATATATGGTTTTTAAAAATTACTAGCTTTTGCCCGTGGTTCCGCCCGCATGTTATCGCGGTAAAAAGTAGTCTATGTTACTCGCTGATAAAATAGCTGCCCATTGGTAAAATAATTTTTAAAATCGGTTTGTTGGTTGAGGCGTGAAAGCGTAACAAACAAATAAACTTACTTTTATATTTATAATATGAATATGGCACTGTATTTGAATCATAGATATCCAATCTATGATTCAAATACAGTGACTCTTCCACTTTAGTCCTGAAACTTCTCAGTTTAAAAGCTAGAACGAATTCTTCTGGAGCATTTGCAAATTTCCAGTTCTAACTAACATGTTGGAAGTGTGACTGATAAGTATTCAGTAAGAAGGGAAATAGGGGATGACTGTCAAGTCAAATCAGTAGTTTTTTTAAACGTCAAAACACTAGACGCGGTACATTTTTGTACTATTTCGTGACGTCATACCTAGTTATTGTCAAATCATTTATATTTCAAACTCAAACTCAAACTTTCTTTATTTCATAAAATTTTCAAAATTGTTTGAAATCGTCTTCCATGTAGACTCTAAAGTCATAGATCAACACACACAAAAGCAACAATCTCTGTTTTGTCAAATAGTAACCAAATAAATTTAACAAAAATCAAACCCATACAAAATCTATGATATGCCTGTGCCGATCTACAACCGCCCGTTTCCAAGGGGTTGAGCCTTATGAGAAGAAAGGGCAAACAAACTCATGGCCACTCTTTTGCAATTCACAAGTAGATACAATGGCACTATTAAATATATCACAACATTGTTTTGATGTGTGCTAGTATGTCCGTTATTAAGGACTTAAAGGTGAAAAAACAACGAAGAGAAAACAAGATTAAGAAGAACAAAGGAATACAAGAGAAAATGAAGTGAAACATAAAAAATAGAAAAAATAATAAAAAACATACTAGCCACACCACATTTTTACTTAAGAAAGAAATAGCCTGCGCTAATTAATCCCAAGCATTCTTGTCCTCCATGTAATCCACAATCGAGTAGTAGGCCCTCTGGCACAAGCCACGTTTTATTGCGGATTTAAATTTGTTAATACTCAACTCCTGAATATTATTTGGGATTTTATTATAAAATCGGACACATTGACCTCGAAAAGACTTGTTTATCTTTTGGAGCCTAGAGGCGGGTACAACAAATTTATTTTTATTTCTTTTATTTATTTATTTTATTTATTAATTTATTATTATTAATTTATTTTTATTTCTTTTATTTATTTTTCTTTCTATTTATTCTTATTTTTATTTCTTATTATATTTAATGTTGATATCAAGATATCAAATCAATAAAAACATTAAATTGATAATGGACGATCATTCAGGGTCTACTTTGATATGTTACATTTAATGATACAGGCGAAATAATTTATTTTAAACCTAAGAATCTACCCTATTGCTTAAGTGAATTGGAGGTTTGCTAATTTAAAATAGAGATTGAATATTGGCAAATTTTGTGTGTGTTTCCACACCCAGTCGACATACGTCGTATTCGATTTGAATGCATTAAACAGGCCCTATCAAGCATCTATATAAGCGTGGCGCAGGCTGTCAGTACTCAGAATTGTGGTATACGAGCTACTGAAAGTAATGTGATATAGTGAAATTGGATTTTTAAAATATTAAAAAAAATATAACCTGTTTATGATGTCACCCATTTTTGTTTTGATGGTAAGGATTTACGTATTCTATTTTTGAAATCGGCGGATAAGTTGTCATTGTCACCAAACAGGTCATTTGAAAGGAATATTTTTAATTAAAAGAATATATTAAAGGTTATAGATTACATGTTTTAGTTGAAATTTTAAACATTATTACATATTATACCGTGTGCACCTGTTCTGGTTACAATGTACCTAAGTGATACTACTTTTGTAAACTTTTATGGATGGCGTAGTGGTTTAAGCGGTCGCTGCTTCCCATTGCTCTAAGTGTTGTGGGATCGATGCGCACATGGGACAACACTTTGTGTGCTCCACAACTTGTAGTTCTGAGTTTGGGTGTTCGTTGTCTCTGTTTTATGAATGTGTCTAAAGTCCCCCGTGACACAGGATATATTCCTAATGTCTTATTATAATAAGCAAATAAGTTTATTTATTTGCTAATTAAGTAGATCAAGTAGATTTATCATAAGCTTAGTAAATCTACTTGATAAACATAAGCTCACGTCCGTGTGGTGACGGATTAAGAATACAGAGTGTCACCACCCCTATTCATCCCGTGGGTGCCGTAAGAGGCGACTAAGGGAGAAAACTACGCAGAACAACAGCTCTGCAGAGGGAAGGAAAACTTGACACAAACCCTATACCAATCCGTCTAGCCATCGTGGCATAGTAGGCCAAAACCTCCTTTCTAAGGAGTAAGTAAAAAAGTGACTAAAACATTAGTGTTTATAGTCTATTTATATAAAGGACTATAGTGATTTTAATTATTTTATTTTAATCATTTGTGTGTCTTTTCTAACATTCTTAATTTGGATGTGCAAAACAGAAAAAATATTCAGAGAGACTACGCACCCTAAAATATTCTTATACGAATTTTTTAAAGGATTCGTATCCATTGTATGTGTGTGGCAAGACGTGTAAATTTTTTTTTCCATTACATTCACCATAGAAATATATAATATGTACGTATAAAACATTTGAAGATAAAAGGTTTTTTTTGGCTGGTATACCTGAATGTTTACACCCCGTAAAATGTAGAACAAAAAAAGTTTATTAGAAGACTCTGTGTTTATGCTGACATAGCCTTAAGTGCCTCTAGGTTCCTCTATGAAAGTACCTTGTACCTGATGAGCCAGTTTCCAGCCATGTAGTGCAAAATTCCCGCAATCAAAATTTCAACATATGCGCATGTATAAGTGGTTGGCCTAAATCAATCAAAGCCGTTTTGTAGATATTTTACTCAATTTTTTATCAATGCAATCTTAATGAGTTCTCCTAGAATTTAAATGCGTCGTACAGTGATAAGCGATTTCATCACACAAGCCAAAAAGATTTTACTGTTTTACATTATGATTAAAATATTACTTATGATTTATAAATATAACATCATCTTTAACTAAAATTAAGTTATGAACTCTTAATTTTAACTGTTCTCTCAGTCCCTACTAGGACACTTTACCACTCGACTTGGGCGGTATTGTTCCATAAGTGGTGCTATATTACAAAATAAACGTTGGTAACATTCTAGATGGAATTAAAACTATCAATACTGTGACCTTTAATTTATTTTTTTTTAAAACTGCAAAACGTCTTCGTCAAAACTGTCATTTGTTATGCTTGCAACTCTAAGCAACCTTAGCCGTGGGCCAAGAATACGGAGTGTCACCACTCTATTCGTCCCGCTTATCCCTCTTTTGGCAAGGTTTTAGACCTTTCTTTTCCTTCGACTAGTTCAGCATTTCCTTTTAACTTTATAAATACTACAAGTGCTTTTAGATTTGATTTTCCCAATCTACCAAGTGTATTTCTTAAAATATTTTTTCATCTTTATCGTACACCATTATGTTATTTTTAAATCAGACATGGTTACATCGGTTTAGGCATATCAATTGACGGTCTTACACAAGATCATTTCTTCTACATAATCTGTGTTTTGAGGTACCCTCTAATGTCAATCCTCTATCACGTGGTAGGAATTGGCATAGTAAGTGCGCAACCTACCTCCTACCACTCTACTCTTTACCTCAAGAAAAATAATCTAGGTAGTTTCATTGTACTACGCCTTAAGTGTTATTGATTGTCACGGGTATAAAATCGCACTGGTTACAATAGATGTGGTACTTATTACTTAACTCCTTAGGAATTCTAGCACTACAGAGGGTTACGTAGAAGAAAATAATTTACTCACCGTAAAGAGTGCGCTCAACCAGCAAACATTAAATGAAGTAGTTTATAATTTAATTGCTGTTGTCTGACTAGTTTTTTTTCGATTTTGATAGATAACTGCTATTGGTACAAGTCTATTAGACGTATGTGGATGTAACGTATGTAATGGATAATACTTACATTATATTGGTTTACAAGAAACTACGTAATCCATATCCATACTTATATAAATGCGAAAGTGTCTGTCTGTCTGTTACCACTTCACGCTTAAACCGCTGACCCGATTTAGATGAATTTTGGTGTAGAGATAGTTTTTATCCCAGAAATCATCCTTTAAGGATTGATAAGGTGGTGGAGGTTTGTATGGGGAATTAATAACCGCTGAATCGATTTTAATAAAATTTGCCATGGAGATGCTTTGATTCTTGAGGAAAGCCATAGGCTACATAATCTATATTTATGTGGGCGGAGCCGCGGGCAAAAGCTAGTACTTAATATTTTTTACCGCGCAAGACCCATCCTTCAGGACATATGTGACGGCTCGTCCGAAGTAATACCTCGGAATCCCAGAAAACACCACTTTTATTTGAGGTCGTTAAGCAATTCTTTCATTGCTTTCACCGAGTGAGTAAGATTACCAGAGGCCCAACACCCCCTTTAATTCTGGGATGGGGGAATTTGAAGGTCGGCAACGCTCATGTGACTGGCAGCGATAGTCGCTTTTCATCAGGTTAATTATCTATTCGTGTAAGCAGCAGCAACGGTTATAAAGTCCTGGCTAATGTTCGGTTTTCAATAAAATCGTAACTCATTAAAGCAGTGTCTTAATTAATTAAACTATGTAGTTTTCTCTTTCGTAGGTAAATAACTTATTGCCAGAAGATTTATTTTTTTACGGTTTCTGTATCGTGTTCATATTATGTAAATTAGAAGCATTCCGATATGTGGAATGATGCAATTTATTAATTCTTTATTTTTGTTAGATACCTACCACTACCGTACCACTTTATTTATAGGAATCACATCAACATCAACAGCCTATAACAGTCCACTGCTGGACATAGGCCTCTCCTTAGAAAGGAGGTTTTGGCCTACTATACCACGCTGGCCAGACGGGTTGGTACAGGGTTTGTTTCAAGTTTTCCTTCTCTTTGCAGTGCTGTTGTCCCGCGTAATTTGCTCCCTTAGTCGGCTCTTACGACACCCACAGGATGAATAGGGGTGGTGACATTCCGTATTCTTAATCCGTCACTACACAGATATCCGTCACCACACGGAATACTTAAAAATAAATAAATAGATCGGAAAACTCCTAAATAAATAGTGTAAAACTTGCCAAAAGAACTCCAAACTGATGCAAATACACTCCAACAAGAACGTAGTTATACCCGCTAAATGTAATATTATTATATTCTAACATTATATTTCTTAGGCCAAAACCTCCTTTCTAAGGAGGGGCCTATGTCCAGCAGTGGACTATTAAAGGCTGTTGATGTGATGTGATGATGATATTATTTGTTAAAATATTTAGTATTGAAAAGTACTTACCTCGTAGGTTCCCACGGTCATAAACATATGTTCAAAGTGGCATTGGGACTACCCACTCACCCTGACCCTTTAATCAACTGACTAAGCATTTTTAATAAAATATGTTAAGTAGAAATCGTTCAGTATTTATTATTAACAGGCCAGTTGGTTAAGTGATGATTGATCTTGCCTACTAAATCAGAAGCTGGCGCTTGATTCGATTGTCACCGACAGACAATGGTGTAATGAGCATGGTAAATTCTTCTGCGTCTGAGTGTTATTATCGGTATTTTCACCAAATTTGAGACCAGACAGCCGCGTGGCTGTGAAAAAAACCCAAAGATCGCTTAATGGTCGAATTTCAAAGTTATAATGTTCGTTAAGTTTTCATTTCATTATTTATCAAACAAACACACCATAATAGGTAAATATACTAGTACTACTATGTTCTATGTATATCTTTCGTACTTTTATAAAATAATACACTAGGTATATTATAAATTAAATATCTATTAACTCAAACATTTCAAGACAATATACTGCAATGCGAATAACAGGGTATATTTAATTTAGAAATAATAATGCTAAATTTTCGTTCATTTGGACTTAATAATCACTGGTTTTAACAGCCCGGTTTGTAACTTGAGGATGTAGAGTACATAAAATAGAGACGGATGTAAGCGTAGCCATAATAATTATATTAGTATTATGGAGGCTTGTTGTTAGTAACACGAACACACATCTGTATTAACTATAAAATTTATTAGTCTTCTCCAAAAGTAATGAAATAAATAAAATTACTTGAGAAAGGTTCAATCGGTCCAAGTTCCGTGAGGCTGTCTTAACGTTCAGCTGCCTAGATCACCTCGCCCTCGTTCATTTCACCGTGGCTAAACTGGGCCAGTAGTAACGTGTCTATATGTTTCATGTTTATACCTTCTAGTTCAACTAATATCTTTTAGTGTACATTGATACGTGTAATATTTTCTACAGTTTTTATTTAATTGAAATTAGATTCGGTATACAGAAATGTAAGATTGTAGGGTCATGTAGAAAATAGCTTGAAAAGCTATATACATTTTGAGGCAATTCAACATTTTTTAAAACAGAAATCTTGGAACTGACAAATTGGACTTAAAAATTGATCAATAAAGCTAAGGTTTTTTTTTAGTGGCAAAAGTTTTTTTATGTAAATTTTTTGTCAAGGTAAATATTCGTTAGCTTTACATGTGTGGTAAAGGCTAAGAATAGCTCCACCTCATCTCTTTACTATAAACGTCAACCTACTGAGCTACTACAGAATCCTACAGAGCACAGTACCATCTCATTGCGATCGCCAACCTGCATGCCCAGTGTGTCGATTATGGCAAAACCCCTCCATAGATACTGCAACCATGGCGAACCTTGGGGGAAGCCTATGTCCAGCAGTGGACATCTTTCGGCTGAGATTTACATGACGCTCTTAACAATGATATCATGTTCCTGTTATATCCTGTATTTGTATATAAATCGAAAACAATATAAATCATGTATAAATTTTCATAAATCTTACAATCATTCGATATAATTATAATTTGTCTATTATTCTACAATATTCAACGTGTTCTCATATTGTAAAACTCCCTTTAAATTAGGATATTGATAAAAAATATAATTTTCTCTTTTCTTTTCAGGTGCTGCTTTCAGCAAGCACCCTTTCAACAACTAAAGATATAGCAGAGAAAGTCAAGCTCTCTAAGTTTCTTGAGTCAGAAGGAATCAAGGATAAAGCTGTGTCAGACAAGGGAGTAAAGAGACATATCTCAGGTTATGGTTTCGGTGGTCATACTGTCGGACTGTCCGCGCCCATCGGTTTAGGCTCACACACAATAGTATCTTCTCCGTCCATCGGTATAGGACATTCTGTTGGAATAGCACCTGCGGGTGGAGTGTATGGTAGTGGTATTGGTATATCAGGGTATGGAGGAGGTATATCAGGGTATGGGGGCGGTATATCAGGGTATGGAGGTGGTATATCAGGCTACGGAGGCAGCATATCAGGCTCTGGAGGAGGCATAGGATTTGCAACTGGCGCAGGCATTGCAAGCGGTGGAGTAATAGCAGGGCCAGCCGTAGCCAGCGTTGCCGGGCCTGCAGTATCTACGGTAGCAGGAGGTTCTATTGGTGCTTCAGGATCTTTGGCAGTGGCAGGCCCTGTTGCCGGTGCTGCACCTGCTGTACAACAATCCGTTTCGATTGAGCCAAATCCAGTTATCTTACGCCAAGAAGTACCCCGCTACATAACAAGAACAATTACACGAGACGTACAAGTACCCGTTCAAGTACCTTATCCAGTACCAGTAGACAGACAGGTCCCGTTTCCTGTCAGGGTACCATACCCAGTAACTGTCGATCGACCAGTCCCTGTGCATGTAGTTCAAAGAGTTCCAGTGGAAGTCACAAAGCATGTACCTGTTTATTACGAGAAGAAAGTGCCATATCCAGTTAAGGTGCCAGTATCTGTCCCCGTGCCATATCCTGTGACTGTTGAGAAGCAGGTACCGGTAGATAGACCTGTGTACGTCGATCGTCAAGTGCCAGTACCGCATCCAGTTTATGTGGACCGCCAAGTCAATGTCCCTGTACCGGTTCAAGTAGATAGGCCAGTACCTGTACCGCATCCTGTACTTGTTGACAGGCCTGTGCCCGTGTCGCAGCAAATTGTTGTAGATAGACCTGTAGCAGTTTCTGCTGGGCCTGCAATAGGCACAGTTGGGTCAGTGGGTGCGGTTCAGGCCGGTACTGCAGTTGCGGGTGGTCCCGTAGGTTCAGCCATTTCTCTTGGAGGGCCAATACTATCTAGCGGAATCTCAGGAGGGTTTTCAGGTGGCTACGGACTTGGAGGAGGCCTTGCCGGAGGACTTGCGGGAGGACTTTCGGGAGGGCTTTCGGGAGGATTTTCTGGTCTTTCCGGAATTTCATATTCAAAGTCGTATGGAGGGATCCCATTAGGATACGCCAGTGGTTATGCAAACATTCCTGTAGGCTATTCAGCGGGACACATATCAGGAGGACACGGAATTGCGTCAGGAATTGGAACAACCTACGCTAAGACCATTACTTACAATACTATTGGCCATCATTAATTTTATATATTATATAATCACTTTAAGAACAAAGTTGGATGATGTATTTTATTTTTTGTGATTACAGATTTTTACCGGTGTATTTTTATGTTTTATTTACCTACCGATTTTTTTTAATAAAGCATAGTTTCACGAGGTTCCATAAAACTCATGGGTTGATGAAAGTAAAATAAAAAAACAATAACACTTAACTAACAAATATAATGACACACATTAGTAACATTACTCCATTTATACAATATTGTAATTTATACTGTTCAAAATAGTTGATGTAAATATCACACAAAACTGGAAAAATAATAAAATTATTTATATTGGTGTTTGAGTAAGAAACATTATAATGTGCGTTACTTTACATTTTGAAGAACAAGAAGTGTCATAACGCATGTCAAGTAAAATACTTGACATGCGTCATGACACTAGTAAAATAATTATTAGCGTATATAAAAGACTAGACTCAATCTATGGCACACAATTCTTTCGAATATTAATAATAAGATGAACATTTCAGAAATGTCAACTCCTATAGTCAAAAATATTATAAGAATGGCTGATTGCTATTATCACAAAGGCGGTATCCAAATTATTTGTCACAGACAGATTTGCCGGTCAAATGACGACGGTCACACGCTTTACCATGCATGTACGAGTAGTATCATTTTATTTGATGAGGATTTCAGTCATATGGAATCGTCTTTTTGCACTTCTAGACTCAAATTATGTAATCTTGAGAACAGTTCAATAACTCTCCTGAAAGTACACTTTAACTTTATATGCTGAAGCTAAAATATTTATATATATCCATACCCTTTGATTTTTTTTAAATATAGATTAGCCAAATCACTTTATATACTGCAATTTTAACAAGACTCGTAAAAGGTTAGTCACTTGTCATAGCAGTGGAGCTATGCTGTTCCATTGCATCCGAAATATATTCCAAATGTGAAATATTAAAGAAAAACAATTACCATTAGAATATAATACATCTTTTGCGAGGATTCATAGCAGAATCTGGCTTACAGTGCCACGCCTTGGCAAAGTCTTCAATGTTCTGTAAAGCACCACGTGCGCGAAATTGCTGTGGAGAGTGTTCATCTTCAAGATCTAGTTGCAACGACTCTTTAGTGTATACGCCACACCAAAGCTATGGGAAGAATATTGGCATTAATACTCATAAAATAAGGTAAGTTCAAATGATAGACTGATGAGAGAAGGTCAAATGTGATACACTCAAAAAGCTTGAATATGTAAATAGTACTCTTGATATGTTGTAGTGTTGTAGTATAGTTTACATTAAATTCGTAGTGTTTGTACTGTAACTATAAAATTGCAGAATTAAATTCAACTTTTAGTCACTATCTCTCTATTATGATTAGTGAGAGTACTTAGTCATTATACCCAGGACCCATATCATGATGTTATTCTTTACGTACATTTCCATAAGACAGAAAGAACAGTTGCTCTGAGGTCATATGTTCGAAGCCTGGTAATTTCGGTTCAGGACCTCGTCTCTTTAGGTGAAGCCTTAGAGCTGCTAAAGCTTCTCGTACACCGCCATTATCTGCTATATTTTCCCCCAACGTCTTTTTACCATCAACCTGGAAGTTGTTAGTTAACACCGTTACTTCTACTACACTGGACTATCACTAACGTAAATCACTCAATGTTATATACTCATGTGATATACTCACATGTTCATCAAGTTCAGATACATAATAAGTGGAGTATTGATCTACAAAACATTGTGTCTTATTGATAAACGACTCGATCGTATCATTAGACCACCAAGGCAGCATGTTGCCATTTTTGTCGAACTTACGGCCTGAATAAAATAAACAAAAATTAATAACACTCAGTTTTGCTGCTATGTTGGGACGTTTCACACTACTGTTGTGTTGAGTGGCGATTCAGTCCATCTATTAATGGGCCGAATAGACCAATGAAATATATGGCTTTAGGCATTTCGGTCCGCGGGTCAAAATACGAGCGGACCGAAACGTCCCAATATAGCAGCAAAACTGAGTATTATTAATTTTACTTAATATAAGACTTATCAATTGTTAGTAATAAACAGGCACATAAATCTTTAAATCAAAACATATTAGTAATATCTCAAAAGCAAAATCTTTTACCAAAGTTATCGAAGCCGTGTGTTATTTCGTGACCAAGAACGGTACCCAGTGAGCCGTAGTTGAGGGAACTGGATGAGAAAAAATATCAATGACAAATTAAAAAGTTAAGACGATGGTATTTACAAATATGATGGTTATTCTATCGTTAATACTTACTTCAAACCCAAATCAAAGAAGGGATGTTGTAACATCACCATAGGAATAGCTACAGGAAACATTAAAATGTTAAATAAAGTTACAGAAGGAACAATGTTCTATAAATAAGTGAAAGAAAAAAATATTAGTGTAAACTTCAAAAAGCTAACATATTTACTTACTTATTGTATTTTCTTGAAATGTATGATATGCGTTGACTTCAGTAGGATCAGTCGCCCAAGTAAAATTATTGCCTTCACGAAATCTATTTAATGCTTTTCTAATCTTAACCTGAATTATATTAATCATGTTCTCTAAATGCTTCGATGGATCTATTTCTATACCATCGTAGTATTCTTCTAGTTTGCCTTCTTCTAATAGCCAATCAGGAAACCCTATTAATGATTTCATTTCAATAATTTTTCGGTACGTTGCTAACTTGGTGTTATCATCCATCCATTTAGCTTGACCGACAAGGTGAGCTAGTGAGTTTTTGAGTTCATCTATCATCATTATTATCTGAAATAGTTTTTAAATTATATATTTTTATATTTTTATAATTATGTAAATTTACTCAGAAATGGTATTTTACCTTAGGTTTGGTGACATTAAAGAAGTATGGATCAGCAATACCATAAGACACAGCCATCCCAAGCATGTCATTAACTGCATTAGCACACTGTAAGGACCGAGGTGGGGTAGTTGCTTGCGAGTGGCTCTGTTCGTAAGCTCGTTGGAAAAGCGCTTGAAGTTCTGTAGTTGTATGGACTGCCATCACCTCGACTACCTGTGTTAATTAAGAAGAAAATTTAGTAGAAAGCTGAAACTCTAGAAAAATGATAACCTATAATTTGTGCAAATAAACAAGACAATTTCAAGTATAGGTATATGAGATCTGAGACTTCAAAGGGAGGCCTACCTTATAGTTATTAATTCTTAACCACCAACAGTATAAACATGATGAAAATATTACTTTATATACTTGAGATTTACTTGAGATTAACATTTACTTACGTATTTATAACATAATAATAATAATAAAGCCGTTTATTCCATAACCCTTAATTTTACATCCGTTATTAACATTTTTATAGATGTACTTAATATCTAGTGTTAGTTATAGTTAAAAGTAGTTACATTCAATCTAAGTAATCTAGTGTATGGACCCCATTTCGAGTATAGGCCTCCTCCAACCTTTTCCACCTTTCCCCATCCTTGCCCTGGTTGATCCAGTCTCTCTCCGCCACATACGTAATATCGTCCGCCCATCGCTGCTTTGGTCTGCCGGCTCTTCTTTCTCCTGATGGTCCTTTCCATTTGGTGGTCTCTATTATCCACCTTCTATCTGAGCAGCGTGCTATGTGAAAAGCCCATTTCCATGTTATTGTTAGTGCATGTCTCAGTGCTTCCTAACCTTTGTTTTCTGTCTTATCTCTTCGCTTCGAACTTTATGTATTTTTCTGATATTTAGTATTCTTCTCTCCATTGCTTTTTGTGTACTCGCTATTTTTTTATTAATATTTTTGGTGAATAAGGTTAGACAGCTGTATAAGAGACACGGCATAATACAAGTGTCTATCACAGTTTTCTTCATGTGTAGGCTATAGTTGCCTTTTAGTATTTCTTTAATGACCAAAACTTTTTCCATGTTAACATAGCTACTTGTTACTTCTTCTACGTTGCTGTTTGCATTAAATGAAACTGGTTTTCCTAAATACATACAACATAATATCTATAAGTAATTGTTTGTCACTTAAAGAAAACACTCACCTTGACCCAAATATATAGTTCAAGCACAACAGGCGGAGTTTTTGAAATATAAGCTGCCATTAACGACATATATTTCAAGTCAGGATCGGCCACCAATACTTTATCCTTTTCAAAGTCTAGTGCTACTTTACTGACATTGAAAATTCCTTCTAAATATTTCTTCCAAATGGGTGAAGCTGTACCATTATTGTTTTCCACTACTGCATCTGTGTGGGATTGGATTTCTTCAATTTTGTATTCCGGGATTGATAAGTCATAATCATCGTCATCTATTTCTGTTGAGTTGTTCACTTCAAGCTAAAATATTAGTAAAACTGATCACTGCTCGACAGTTGTTAAGATAATTTTCGTAATATTATAACAAAACCATCATCATCATTATTATGCATGTGATATAGATGATCATAAACACAAGTATTGATCGTTTTCTATAACTGTGGCATATAATATAATTGTTTTAATTATTTCAACCTTGACCGTGTTCGTAATCGTTTTTAATAGTTTTATTTATTTTTCATGTTTTACAGCGCGAAACACTTTCTGATCGTGTTGTTCTTTGTTATCTATGTCTGATGATATTGGTTAAAATATGTGTGCTAATGATAGGTCAGAATCGTATATTATTTTAGTGAAACACGCGATTATCGAATATAAACATATTGCTATTCTAATTATTATTTTTGTGACAAAAGGTATTTTATTGTAGAAAGAATTTCTACACAACAAGAGAGAAATATTAAACCGATTAGTATTTTTCCCTCATATTAATTATTAAAAAAAGCTATTTTTGTAGTGAGGCTTTACCTATTTGAACATTATTAATTATTTTAATACCAGGTAATAAAATAATTATAAAACCCAAAGTATAAAGGAAAAGGGCACCTGAAAAATTCAAACTGATAATTTTAAGATTACTTTACCATCTATCCTCAAAGGCCATGTTCAGATGACGGTCGTCAAACGTGCGTTTTGATTTCATTAGTTATACTGTAGAATCTGAATTCTGAATTTAATTAACAAATACGGCCATTTATGAAATAGTTATCATAAGCAAAACTCAATGTGAACGACATTGATGCTATTTTGAGCAGTTCCTTAGAAAGTGACAAAAGCAGTGCCACAAAAAAAAATATTTCGTAAGAAAGAAATACAATTGGAGATATCGTTAGAGTGCAGAGACACTGGATAAAATGAAAAATTACCTCCTTCTTTTACCGTTCTTTCAAGTAACTTAGTAATACGCAGTAAATTTTCTTGAAGGATTCAGCATCATCATCAATAGCCTTTGTAGTCCTCTGCTGGCCATATTCCTCTGCTTACAAAGGAATTTTTGGCACACTATACCACGCTGTCCAGAAGGGTTTGTATAGGGTTCAAGTTTTCATTCTATTTACAGTGCTGTTGTCCTACGTCGTTTGCTCCCTTAGTCGGCTCCTACAACACCCACGGGATAAATAGAGGTTTTGACACTCCGTATTCCTAATCCGTCACCACAAGGGCATGAAAGATTATGACTGTAAATTTGTTTTCACGTACCTCATAAATATCATCGTTTCTGTTATAATATTCTTCTGACGACAGTATAATGTTCTGATCTAGTTCAACTTCAGACAATTTAGACTTTTTGACATTATCAGATTCTATCACGAACAATTTAATCAATTCTGCATAGAAGATTTTGTGTACTTGTGCACGTTTTTCATCATCATCAGATTTATCACTACGGCGATCCATGTGACGTACGAATTTTTTACTTTCTTCTATGATCTTTATAAGACTTCCAAGATCTTTTCTACCATTATGACGTTTTCTTTTGTTGTGTGTACTAAAACCAAAAAGTCAATAAGTAGTATTGCATTATTTCGTTCCAAGAATGATTGAGTTATCATGACACGCTGAATTCAGAAATGACGTTTGATTTATACTAATGTTCGTGTTACTAGTAACTATCATCATCAGCCTGTCGCAGTCCACTGCTGGACATAGGCCCCTTCCGTTGCATGCCACTTAGATCGATTTTGGGCTTCTTACACCCAGTTCTAACTAATACTAACTAATTTATCAAATATTAAAAAAAAATCAATGAAATGGAATAGCATGGGATTGAAAAAGATGAGGTTAACGATTTTCGAAAAGCGTTTTATCGGTATAAAATAGAAAACGTTTTTTCTGAATTTCACTGCAAATGTCTTAAAACCGACTAAATATAAATCAGGTGTTTAATTTTACTAAGACTTAAGTATTTTGTGCATTTTTTTTTTATTGTATGAAAAACCCTAATGGGTCATCACCTCACCGGCGCTCACGATGAAATGATATGTTGGAACCGAGCCCCTAAAACATGTAAGTCTCTTACAAGGTACGTGGGTATACCCTAAAAAGGAAACCAACGAGATTTTGTGTGTAAGTTATGAAATGATATCTGTGTAGGAGAGAAAAATGACATGCCTGATTAAGGTTTACATTTTTTTATACTTACATCTTACGCTAATCACTGTATTCGGGCCGGCTACTACTACTATTATTATCTATGCTTAGACCGACTGACCGACCGACACTCTTGACATTTTTTTTATATTCTTAGCAATATGGCGGAAGCTTCTACTTTTTTTTCACTGTAACTCTAAGAATACAGCTATTCAAACAAAGAAAAATTGTTTCCTTTGTTCCTCACGGAACCTCACCGTCATAATAGGAACCTCTATGTGGGTACAATAAGTAAAGCTAAGAGGCCAATTGAAGTACGTCCATTTTTATAAAATGTAGGTAATGAGAAAACGTCACCTGATGATAAGTGACTTTTGCTGCACATGAACTCTTGTAACCCAAGAGAAACAACGTTCATGAGTCATGCATTTGCTTACCTTGGAAACGGGTTGGTGGTCTCAGGAGATCCCATGACTAGTCTATAAAGTGATGAATTCCTCGGGTCCGTGAATATATCAAAACCTATTAACACATCCATGCCAATCTGTGTCTTAATCTTGATCACCGCATCCAGCCAGTTGAATTCATATGTCGAGTAATCAAAATCATCAGTAGCATTGATGAATGTAGGAAACGGTGGAAGGCCGAGTGACTCTAAGGCGCTCATCACTGGTTTTAGTCCTCGTTTATCCAATGTAGCTGTAATTAATTAACCGTTGTTGAAGATAAAAATATTAAAGGATGGGGCAGATAGTAGGCGAAATGCGGTCTGCGTTATCGTGGATGGTTGAAATACATTATTTTGAAAGTAGGAGCAATTTTCATGTCTTGAGGTTTGACTTTAAAGCTCATTAAAACTTGACTGTGTGAAATCTAATTTAGGGAAAACTGCTTTTTGCTTGGTTTTAAATAAACTGTGCAAATGTTTCAGGATCACGATTCTAGCACGAGGTTTACCTACACCGACACATGTATTATATATAAATATATTACATTTCATACATTTTAGGGGTATAGGGGCCAAGCACGCAGACTGGTCACCTATTGGTAAGTAACTACCGACATCCATAGACCTTTGCCGAACTTTTTGCTAACCTTTAAACCCCCCCTCCCCTTAATATGCGAGTGGTGGTGGGAGAGGTGAGGGGGTTGAGTCATCTAATGTGTTTCGAAGCGTGATTCGTTCATGGTTATTCAACCACTGTCGTTTATTCAATGTCAATATTATAATACATTAAAAGCTTTGGTACTTGCATCTGAATCAGAGACGTGTCTTTACAGTAATTTCTAAATAGGACAGATGCTACTCTTTAGCTACTTTTCCGCTGTTCCAGCTAGTTTCCAGCCGCTGCTAACAACAGCTATGGTTTTATACGACATGGTTCAAAAGAAGAAAACAGTAAATTAAATATCCTACCTGTATCCATACAACCATTGAACATATCTTTCGCTTGCTGGACTGGCTTCGGATGATGAGTAGTATTCTTATTTAAGAAATCTCTCACTATAGAGTACACTTTTGTCTGTTTGTCTCTGAACCAGTCGTAAGATTCAAATGAGTCTGGCCGAGGATGGTCGGAACCCCAGTTACCACATACGTACTGCAAAAGGAAATAGAATAAGCAGGGTATCAGTAGAAGTGAGTTGTTCATCAAAATAAAAATTGTCCTATTCTTATGAAATGAACTGTTGTTCAATTTCTTAGGTGAATTACAAGTAACCTGGTAGAAGTCATCACATGGATCAGCACTCTTGTCCATTGAAAGCGCTAGGTTAGCCGCCGATCTCAAACATTCTCTGCTCTCGCATATTCTGACTGGTTTCTTATACATAGCCATTGCATCTAAAAATATACGAATTTGGAAGTTTTGCTATAAATACACCAAAACTAAAAGAATACATAATCACATCCATAAATAAGCGGTTAAACGACGCCATTTTCTACCAATTGCAGTAAATTATTTTCTTTCTTGCTTTCTATTGTTTGGGAAATAGTGATATCAGTTAGTGTATTGAAAGTATCTTTGTTTTATTTTACCAAAGAAAAAAAGTCCTAAAATGGATGCAGAATAATTAACAAGGAGAGGTTTAAGTATGAATGCATTTTGTTGCAAGTAATTCTCGTGACTGTTGATGCTCGATCTGACAGTTAAAAGCGACACAAATCATTACTGACTATGTAACAAGCGATTAAGTGATCAATTTGCTACATCAGTAAGGATCACGTCGAAGATGAAGTAACAATCCGAATAGGCTTAGTGACCATTAAACAGATACCATAACTCATTAATGGATGATTTGGATTGTATCGCTGAATTGTACCAGCGATACAATCGCCACCTACCAATAGCCATCTTTATCGACACCGATGGAATAAGCGTTTATACATACAACAGGGACAGTCAAACCTGACTTATTCTAAGAAATTTGTTCTATAAGCATGAGATTTTTAGTTTTTCTGTTTTTTCATGTTCGTGTTTGCGTATAATGCTTATAAATAACATTTCTGTTTACATGTCTTTTACTTTTATAAGATACAATGTTGTTCAGGAAACTTTATGTTGCATTTCACATATGAAATGCATCTTCAAATCACCTACATCACCTACAAATTAAATTTTACTGCAACTGATTTTGAATTGGTAAAGTTCACTACGACTTATATTTAATTCAGGGCACAATATATCTTTATGGAATCTTGAATTAAATGTAACAGACGGAATATTACAAGATCTCCCCTGATTTTTGCTTATTTTCTTTGTATACTTACATAAAATTGTAATAATTATAAAAGCTATTAATAACAGTATAAATACTAATATAATCACGATGACTGGTATTCTTTGCCTGTATTTTCTTCGGAACCTAAAAATAACACAATAGGTTAGGACGGTAAAACACACAGAACGTTCACATACAGAATATTAGAGAATGGTGGGGTCTAATATTTCGTGATGCAGAGGGTTGATATTAATGAAACGATGGGGCGTTTAGAGAATAATAATGCTTATATCTTGTTTCAATTAGAGTAGGTAATACGCAGTCAAAAGTTTTATAAATAAATATTTATGTAAAATATGCGTGTACTAAGAAATAAATAAGTATGTTTATCAGTGGTCTGGTTACCATGTTACAGGCTGTGCCTAGTTTGGGACCAGATGGCGGTGTGTGATGAAATGTGTATAGTTTATATATTAGTTAATGTAAATTCGTGACGTACTTAACAATATGACATTTATTACATTTAGTTCTGGGGGCACATTCACATTACTTAACCTGCGATGCTCTCTAGTAAACATATTCTTATTTAGAGAGTGCAGTGAACTGCCCTTATCGTGAAACTTTTATGATTTTTCTTGTTATACAAACTGAGAGATCTTTGAATGTTCTTTTAAAAGCTTAAAAAGCGGTATTTTGGAAATCTCTTAAAGGAAATGTAGCGGTAACATGGCAGGAAAATAATTGAAGAGAGAAAACCCATCCGGATAAGCAGCGCCGTGTGGTCTTTGCCAGTATAGTTTTTGCTAAATTTTTATCTAAAAAATACATAAGGAATACTCATTATGGCTAGCAGCGGATGGATGCAGACTGTCTAAGAACAGTATGATTGGCGCTCCTTGGAGGAAGCCTTCCTTCAGCAGAAGACGACGATAGACTGATGATGATGACTCATTAAAGTATTATATTTGTTTTGTGTTTATTTTGTTGTTGTGAAAAAAGTTGTATATTTTTGATGGGCCAACAACCGAACACCTTAATGTATGAAATATTGGTCTTTGGAGCATTTAGGATGCTACAGGGTATATGTTAGTTATCTGATTTGGAGTCTTTCTACTTCTACAGCAAATTCATGTTTAAATCATAAAAACAAAATAGTACAGGTACCGACTGAATCTAATCTTTTATGTATGAATATAGTCTGGCCTTTTTTTGCAGCAGTCATTATAATAACACTTAGCTTCTGTAAAAAAATATAGAGTTTACCTGGATGTTCTGGAACCAACAGCAATTAAGTATCCTGATTCTCTTAAGTCACTACCGTTTTTCAAGGGTGGTGTGTCAACTTTAGCACTACCAGCACCTAAGAACAAAGTAAAATACCGTCATTGTTTAACGCCTGTACACCTGCCATCTGTTAACCAACTAAATAAAGTAAATGATTTAAAGCCTCAAAACCTTAAATTATTACTGAAAAATCCTTAGAATTATTTGTCTAAACCACTAACTATTATCGCATCAACCAGATCCAAAATGTTTAAAAAAACAGGAATACCTTTCAGCTCTCAGTTGGTGTTATTACAGCATATTTAACATTGTATTTTTTGTTTGGTTATTAACACAAAACTCCGTTATCCATCATCATCTGCCTCTGGTTCTTAAATTATACTCTATCATTCATCATTTCACTGTTCACTCCCTTCCTAGCCTTATCCTCTCTCACACAATCCATTCACCTTTCTTTGGTCTCCCTCTTCTCTTGTACCACTCAACTCTCATACCTAACACTTTCTGCGCCACATTTTCCTCATTCCTCCGCCGAATATTTCTTAACTCTGCTTATTTAGGAGGGTATACTTGGGACTAATCCCACCCACACGCCCACCACTGTAACTCCTGTACACCAGGATCCACAGCAGTGACCCACGAACACACCGAGTTATGACACTCGGGAAGTCCCAGGAAGAAATTAAACTGTCTTGGAACCCGCAACGAAATTAATCAGAAGAAAATTGGAAATACAGTAAATCCACTTCCCTCCTTAGCAAAGCGGGAGACAAAATTAAGTAAAATGGGTATACACCCTTTTAAACAGGGAAGCACCACGGCCACAAATATTACGGGTCCTACGTGAGCTATGTTTGATTTCTATAATATGTATGGCAGAATCGCCTAAACGCACGGAAGTTCACCCTAGTTGACACAAGATCCCCATAGTATACCGCCCCAGATGTCATCTGCAAGCTATTCAGCATTATATCAAAGACTACATTCCCAGAGGATATGATGAGCAGACTGTTCATAGTGAGAGTTAGGTGTTGAGCATTGACACAATGGTGACTCGACTAATTTAAATGAATAAAGCTTGCTCTTAAAGTTACCATGACCCGTACGAAATTGAGCGACACAGTGATCCACCTCAAGCCATATCCTCGACAACCGTTCGCGAACAGATGGAAAGAATTGGTAAAGATGGCGCCCCTTGGATGATTCATCCCAGCGTTGTTGACATTCGTCTATGAGGTCATTATAGACATCGGGCTGCTGTTGAAGCAATCTTGTAATTTTACCGCGATCCCGCGCGCCCAAAAAATCGCATTCCATGTTTTGTTGTCTTGAATAGTACATGGCTGCACGTCTCTGCACCTCGAGATCGACCGGAAGCACACCCGCCAACACCGGCAAAGCCTCAGTGCTAACCGTCCTATATGCCTTACACAAGAATATCAGTGCAAGTCGTTGGCCTTGTAACAGTTTGCGACGGACAGCGCCTACGGTCGCCCTATCGGCCCATACAGGTGCACCATAGCACATAGAACCTAAATAAGTAGCTCCGTATATGATCTTTAATGTATTAAATGATAGACCCCATGTCGCAGTTGATATCCTTGTCAATGCACAGAAACTCTTTTTAGACTTTTCATTAACTATTTTAATATGTTCGATAAATGAAAAGTTTCTTTCTAAAACTAATCCTAGATAACACACTGTAGTTTTATTTTTTACAGTAACATTGTCAAATCTAATGCTCGGCGGTGATTTGAGGTTACCTTTTAAAAGTAGCTGGAAGGTTTTGTTGGGTGCAAAAGTTAAGCGATTACGTTCACCCCATTGAGATATCAAGTTCAAACATCTATTGGCTAATCTCTCAAGCCCCGCCCTAGTATCAGATTTCACCAGTAATAAGCCGTCATCAGCATACGCGTTCAGAGTACATCCGGATGGTATTGGTATCGCAAGAAAATCGTCGAAGCCGATATTCCACAAGTATGGACCTAGCACCGATCCCTGAGGACATCCCATTGTAAGCGCCTTCGACACTGAATGATGACCAAGTCTTAGTTTAGTTGTACCTTGTGAAAAGTACGAAGAGATAAGGGAATAAATATTTTTGAAGCACCCCCGTGATTTTAATTTCAGCAACAGCATGGGCCACCATGCGTTGTCGAAGGCGCCAGATATATCTAAGAAAATAGCCAGCACGTATTGAAATTTTGATTTTTACTTTCTAACCGATATAACAGCGTCAGTTGTCGATTTACCCAACGTAAATCCAAATTGTCTATCATGAAATTTGACTCCACCTGGCAGAAGCCGGGGCACTACAAGACGTTCTAAAAGCTTTCCTAACGATGGTAATAATGTGATTGGTCGGTAGGATTTAGGATCATCCGGTGGCTTGTCGCCACTTTTTGGTATTATACGAATATTACCGCACCGCCATATACGAGGAAATATTCCTTCAGCAATGCAACGTTAAACGTTGCATTGCTGAAGGAATATTTCCACAGAGAGTGAAAATCGTGTCACCCGAAAGTTTACAAGCTTCTTTTATCATTTTGTTAGATATTTTATCATCGCCCGAAGCCTTGTTTAGCGGCAAGGATCTAATAATACCGAGAAATTCGTCTGAAGATGGTAAATCAGACATTGGAGACAGTGGTGGTTCGATGGCCCACTGCCTGATCTGTCGGTGATGATCAGTGTCGTTTTCCGGTCCATCGTCAGGTACGAGTGAGTCTAAAAGATATTCTGCTGTTTGTTCTACTCCTGTGGTATATCTGTTATTAATTTTGATGTTCTGTATGTATGCAAGGTCGATTGATCTATTTGCCTTAAA